AGCTGGCTAAATGTAACCATAAATTTTAAGCTAACAGTTTTTTTTTCCTTATATTTCTTGCTTGTGGAACTCCCATTCCAGCACTATGCTTTCCAGCCAACTTTAATCTGCAAAAATTTAAATGTAATGTCAATCGCTATTGACTGTCCTCCCGATCACTCTTTCCCCTCATTAATAATGTTTCTGTTCCTAATTCCTCCACACCTTGTTTGCTAGTGGCTTTTCAATGCCTTGCATGGGGTGATATTGATTTATATATATATATATATATATATATATGTATTCAAAGCAAGAGAAAAATGTTTGGAATTTTTAGCTATGCACTTTTCCATGAAAATTAAACTTAATTTGGTCTTTAAAAAAAATTATGTTTAAAAAAAAAAAAAAACACAGTTTGTATTTTGCATGTGTAGATTTGTTGTAAGACATGTAATAATTTGGAGGGTGGAGTTTGGCAAACACTTATTTCCCTCGTAGATATATTTGAAAAAAGAAAACAAAACAAAAAACATTAGCAATATAATAGCAACATTGTTGCATATTAATTTTGAACACACACACACTAGAAATAAAAACATTTAATACTTATCAAATGTCATTTCAGACTTTCACAAGTTTTTAATTACGCATGGGGACTTTTGGCAAGAATGATTGTAATGATCTATGCAGTCATTCCTCTCATAAATTCAGAGTAATTAAAAAATTACAAAATTGAGTCGACCTCAATAAATATTGAAAGCTTTTATTTCTGTTTTAATAATAATAATTATTGTCCTAGTCTACTAGTCAGCACTTTATTGAAGAAATTCTGTTGAATTTGATATACATCAAATTATATAATTTTACATATATTATTTGCTAGTATTAATAGCTAACATTTATATTAATAAAAACAAAGAAAAATAACAATTGGAAGCTAATTACCCTTAAGCCTAACAACTACATTTGATAAAAGAGATGGCTGATAGGACTAAATGTAAATAGATTCTAATACCTTCAAATCAAATTCAGAATTAGTCTTCCCCAGTACCAAGAGACTTATGGCCTTATCATGTTGAAAGGCCAGCTCTTGTATGATCACTAAAGTTAAACTCCACCATGCCTGGCAAGCAGTATAATAACAGCTCAGAATTGGAAATTAGAGAGCTGAGTTCCAATTCCAGTCAGGTTCATTATATTCACTTATGTACAAATACCCTTGGGAAAGGTATGAATTCACCTTTTCTCCTCCCAGCCATGGATTAATTAGTAGGATTATTAAATCATTATTATCTCCCAAAATTTCTTACTCTCTGAAAATATTATCCAGCTATAAATAATTTGCAAAAGGTTGATAAGCAATAAAAAAAAAAAAAAGCAAAATCAATCAATCAAACCTAGATCAAAAGAGAAATACAGGTTTTATTCCTGTCAGGAGGCAAATTTCCTTTATGAAGACTTTTGATCTCTCAGTAGGTAAACATTAACTTCATGTTTTATAAAAAATAGTGATGTCTACTCAAGCAATATGTGTAGCTATTAATATAACATTTAAATGAGAAAAATTACTATACATATGGTTTTTCAGGTAGGCTGGGAATGTGTTAATTTCTTGAAACTTCAGATTGAATTCAGAACACCACAAATTATACTAATACTGCTTAAAGAGTTGAATGCATGTGAAACATGACTAACCAATGAAAATCAAACACAAAAGTAAAGATACCAGAATTGTTTTCTTCCTTTTCTCCATATTTAATTCTTTGATGAAGCTTTAATAAAATTGAAATATATTAGATTGATAAATGTTTCCTCTTTTATATTTAAGGAAGAGTGCTCAATATTGGAGATAGAATAGATAGATATACACAATGTAGACATAGTATTACAGAATGTAAAGGCTAGGGCCAGAATGGTCAGTGATTGGCCGGCCAGAGTGCCACATGGTGGTATTCTGATAGTGATGGATTGCCTGTGCCTGAGTTTTGGATACAAGTCCAAAATGGCATGAATTCAACAGAGGACTGCAAGAATTCTGAAGGATCAAAACACCTCCTGCACCCAGGTTAGCAACCGGCTAAGACCACCTGCAGAGTGACTCTGAGCCAACGCATGACATTGACGTCATTCCTCCTACTGCCTCTCAGAATCCAAGCTGCCACTACTATCTTCTAATAAAACAAATAACAAAAAGAAATGGTCCTTTTGATACCATTTTATGTAGTAGCATGGGTAACCAGAGATGACACAGAATGAAACAATAAGAATGAACACTGGATGGTGACAGTTTCATGCTTCAATGTGATCTTAGACTTGCTAAAGATTGCACCAAAGAGAGAACCTGATAGAATGCAGGATCTATATATGTAAATATTCTATCTCTGATGCCAAGAGTGTTCCACTATGAATATAACAAATTTTAAACATTATCTATTTCCATTATTTGAACTATTGTCCTCATCTTTGTCACCATATTTATTACAACATTTCAGCCGTTGTATGCTCCTGCCTTCTTCAGGTGATTGGAATGTCGAACTGAACCCTTTATTTCTCTCACTGTGGTAGACTGTTCCACGTGCCATGTTTAATGGATGTCAGTTATCAGATATCTCCTGTTAATTCCCCTCTGAAAGTTCTCCACTGCCTTAACCAGGTATTGAAGTCACACTCCTGTCATTGGATCTAACTAACACCTTTATCCACTAAGGCCATGTGTCCTTGAGGACATCTGTGTATGAATTTCTGGGTATTATAAACCTAATGTCTTCAGCAATCATTTTTTACCAGTGCTCATATTGCAATTTTTGCTGTTATATGGCAACAAAGATGAGGACAATAGTCTGAATAATGAAGATAATGTAAATAATACCTCATCTCAGAAATATAGACAGATTATTTATTTTCTTGAAGTGTGAAACTGACAGTCAACATGCAGTGTTCATATTTATCTCCACACTGTGTATATATTTATAAAATAAGCTTAATTTTCAGAGGATGTAATAAATGAAACGAATATTGTAGAGAATAAAAAAATTTTCTTCTTCAGTTCAAAGCTTTGGTATTCATGTGTGTAAGAGCAAATGAAGTTGAACCAAAACACATCACAATATAGATTGTTTGGTTTCAATGATGTATCAACTATCAACTATTTAATGGCTAAAAATGTGTTTTTTGTTTTTTTAAAAAATATATAGCTTGTAAACAATCCTTTCTTTTTGGTTGTTGGTCTCCATTCTTCAGCTATACATTTAGAACAGAGTTATTTAGTGCTAAAATTTGTGGCATACACCAACCTCCTTCAAAGAGGCTAAGATAATCTCTATTTTTATCTTCTTGAAAAGGTCCTCTAGATTAGTCATGTAATAAAATCATTGGTATATTAGGGGTAAGGTCACCAGAATCAGGCAGAATGTGTTTTATAGTGTATGCCCACCACCCCATATGCTGTGCATTCAGGAGGTGGCTCATTTTTTAGCAGAAATGAAATGAGTGAATGATGTATGTGTCTGATTCCGATTCTTCATTCCAAGAAGGTCTGAGACCATTATGCCAATTTCCTAGAATGGGTTTAACTTTGTAAAGTATGTGAGAGAGAGAGAGACAGAGACAATAAGAAAAACTATCCTTAGCTGATGTGTTTTGATGATGATGAAACCAGAGGTGTGGATATTACATTGAAACAATATTTTTTTCATTTTATTTTTTTACGAGAATTACCGATTACCAATATGTTAAAACTAGGATTTTTAACTAATTAATTTAATAAAATTATCTTTGCAATCAACTTTTTAAAACTTTTAAAAATTTAAATTTAACCACCTGATTGGCAAAGTTAAAGAGAAACAAAGAAATGATTATTATTAATTAATAATAACGATGTTAATAATTAAAAAAAAAAAGAAGATAGATAGATTGGGGAGGAGGAGGAGGGCTCCCCAAACGGCGCAAGGAAATTGAATGGGAAAGTGACATTTCATTTTTTTTTTTTTAGTCAATTCAATTCAGCTAAGAAAGCTTGTTAGTAAAAATTCTTTTAAACAAAAAAAAGATGATTCACTTGTTGGCACCAAGTGAATGTGTCATTCACCAATTTCGATTCAAAATATTTTTCTAAGTAACAAAAAAACTGAACATCTTTTCTTTTTAGCTTAGGAAAACAATTGGTTATTTAAAAAAAAAAAAAAAAAATGATCGCCCGACGATAATATATATTTTTCAGTTTCACTTTATGACAATTTTGTTTTTAACAAAGAATTAAAGATACGATTCAATTTCGATCAAATGTTTAAAAATAATCAAAAGAAAATTATAGCTCAACAACTTTCTGCCTTTTTCGTTCTTCATTGCATCTTTTTTGAAACATTAACATCGAAAATGTTTAAAACTAAAAGTTTTGAAAATTCCTAGATAAATTGTATGACTGAAGAATGAAGAATAATTGAAAATGAATAAAATGAGCAAGAACAATTTCCTAGTTTTAGTAATGAAAGAAAGAAAGAATAAAGTTTACTTAGAATAAAAAAAAACTAAAAGCAGATTTGATTCAATTGTTATGTTATAAAAAAAAGAAACAAGATCCAAATTTACAGCCACTGACATAGACTTTTTTTGCTTTTAAAACTTATTTTGACATCGAAGCATTTTTTTTGACATTTAAAAAAAAAAATCAGAAATTGTATGATTAGAAAGAAAATATAGTTTAAAAATGAAAAAAAAAGTCGGAAATAATTTAAATTTCCTAGACTAATGTTAAAAAAAAAATGAAAAAGAAAACGTATTCGGAAGAAACAGGAAGATTAGTTACCAAAAAAGAAAGTGTTTATTTTATTCGTTCGGTTAAGTAAACATGCCAAAATAAAAATAAATAAATAGTGAAAAATGATGTATATGTATTTTAAAAAAACAATAAAATACAGAAAAAAAGTATTTTGGTAAGTGTTTTTGTTGCTTAAGAAGTAATTTTTTTTTTCAAATAATTCCTTTAAAAAACAATAAGAAGGGAACCCACAAAAAAAACTTACCTTTTCACCAATAAATTTACACAGATTTTTCGATTTTTTATCGGATGAAGCCATTGTTTTTCGTGTTTAGTCACTTCAGCCTACAAAATAGAAATGAAACTAGTAGCGATTTAAAAGCCGAATGCTTTAAAAGGAAAAGAAAAAAAAAAATAAAAGAAGCAGAATTCGTTGAAAATTGTGAAGTGTTGTCGATTGCCATAGACAAGTGCGTGACATGATTTAAAAAAAAAAAAAGATAAAAGAAAGAAAAAAAAAACCAAAACCTACAAGTTGGTATAATAATTATGTGTCCACTTTTAACCACAAACTGTCCAGGTTTTCATTTATTGTACAATTTTTAAACTTAACAATGACAAAAATCGGAAAACATGGAATTGTATCCTGGCATCTGAGTCAGACAAACTTAAGTACACTTTACAGTTGAAGTAGGTTAATATTAAAATAGGACATCAACACCGTTACTTACGGAAACAGAGATTTTTTTTTTTTTAAAGGGTTGGGCCAAGAGTCAATGTTTGAACACGTGTTAAGGGGGGACTGAAACAAGTTGCAGTGCCTTTTAAAAAAAAAAAAAAAGAAAAAACACACCAGATGTTTCTCTTTAAGTCAAAAAGAAGCATTTTCTGAAGTGAATAAAAAGAATATTAACCACAATAAAGGCTACAGTTCGATCGATAATGATCTGTCATCTATATTGGTCAGCACTTTTTTTTTAATTCCGAGAAAAGGGGCAATAAGATTTTAAATTTAAAAAACATGTAGAAATCAATAGAAATTTGTTGTCCATCTCTGACTAGCAGAATTTGGTTCGAATTGAAGAATAAGAAGAATCCAACATACCAGTAATTAATTAATCCTTAATAATAAGACTGTCTTACCCACGTGGTGTGAAGTGACTGCTACAACTGTTACAAAATCAGATCGAAAAATGTAAACTGGGTCTACAACAACTACATGATGTCTATTGTCTGTGTTTCCCGGGCTTTTTTTAAAAAGGGCTAATGTTCCTCTCGCGATATTTATTGAATTCAAAACAATTTATTCTTTCTTTGACTATTTAAATATAAATTGCAGATTTTTCACTTTAATAAAAATGAAGTAATAGTATTTATTTTCTTATTGTAAAATAAATGGAGCAAGTCTTTGGGTACGTAAAAAATCAAAAATGTAATGTAAATGAAATGATATCATTTTTAAGTAAGGGACATAACTCCTTTCTTCTTTTCTTGGAAGCTGAAATAAATTTTATAGGAACCACCAAAAAATGCTTGCCTTTTTTTTTTATCCCAAAATGAAGTCTAAAGAAACAAAATAAAAAAAAAAAAAAAAACACCATCTACCGTATTAAAAAAAAAAAAACCATCCACCGTATTAAAAAAAAAAAAAAAAGGAATTATCCAATTTAAATGAAATTTTCAACATTTATTCATTAATGAACAAATAGTATATTGAATAGGTTATTTTGTTAAAAAAAAATTTTCTGGTCAGTCACGACCCTCTTTTCATACATCGTGGACAATTTTAAAATTGACGGGGTGGGAGCAGGTGATGATGACAAATGAAATATTTTTTTATATAGCTTAAGTTTTATAAAGAAAAATCTCTAAAGATGTGATATCAGTAAAAGAAAATAATGCAATAGAATATTTTGAAAATATTTCCTGAATCTTAACTGTTAATTAATTCGATAAAACTTTAAAAAATATATCTATTTTTTGTGGAGTGTTGGTGCTTGCTCTTCTTGCATATTTCAATTAAAACTTTTCCTTTCAGATTTGACAGGAAAATGATTATTTTTGAAAAATTTACTTGTAATTTTTCAGTGAAATTTTGAAATTCTTCTGATGGGTAATTGATGAAAAAAAGAGTTGTTTTTTTATTATATGTGTTTGTTTGAAGAATCGAAAAATGCTATATTTTCATATTAGAAATATTTTTAGAAAAATTTTCTTCTTTTTTTAGTTATTATTTTCTTACGGAATATCAAATAAGAAATAATTCAAATTCAACAATTCTGATTGATTTCTTCTGGTTATAGAAGAAATCATTCATTAATTATAGAAATTATAACTTATAATTTCTATAATTATAAATGATTAATTCTACTAAGTTTCATAAAAGTCTTGGTTATAAGGTTAAAATAATTATTTTTAAACATAAACGAAATCAGTTTCTGTATTTTGATCTTAATTAAATTTGTTAAGGCATGTTTTTATTTATTTTTTAAGCGGGTGTCGCGCGGGAAACTGCTATTGTTTCACTTATGAAATTGATGACAGGTGGAAATAAGTTGTTTTGTTTAAATTAGGTTTTTCCGCTATATTAAATCGGGATGTTCACGAATTTACCTTAAAAATGGCATACTATAATGAAAAAATGCCCCAAATTTGACGAAAACTATATTTTATCGTCAAAACTTTTACGTTATTTAAGAAGAGGAAACCAAATTGTTTTTTGATTTATTTTAGTAAATTTTTTTATCTTTTTTTTTTTTAGAATATTCGAAATTTTGATTAAAATCTTGTTTTCCTTGCGCCAGCGCATAGACTTGTAAACTAAAGTAGGAAGAACTATTTTTCCAAAATTCTGTTAATCCTTACTTTTTTAGACATGTTTAATTTTAGCATTTATTTTGACTTAAATTAAAATAGCGGATCTTTGTTAAGTGCCGGCCAGGGAAACTTCGTATTTTTTACCGGAAACTTTTGAATAAAACGAAACTGGACCAAGATTATGAGGTATAAACAAATATTTATTTGATTTAGATTAGAGAGCGAGTCTAGCTTATATTCGGGGTAACAAAAGTTCGTTATAAGTCCGATCTTGGTAGCAGTCGATAGAAAGTCCGTTTCGGTTCGGTATTCGACAGTTTAGAGTTCAGTAGAGTTGGTAGTAGTAGTAGTAGTATTCATTTTAGAAATAGGTCAGTATTAATCTACCCGTAGCTAAGAAGGACAGACAATATCATTATTAGCAGATGACCTCCTAAACTTCTTCACGCTTGACAGGTTTCTCTGGCGGTCCCTTCTCCTCGTCTGGTTCAGAAAACTGTCAGTTGATATCCTTTTGACCAGGTTCTCAGACTATTGAAAATAATTATAATTTATAAATGTTTTGAAAGCTATCAAATTGTAATCCCTCTTCAGAATATGCAGATCTTTTCATTTTCTCGTTGGAAGTAATACTTGGAAGTAAATCTTGCATCTTTTTTCATTTGAAAGGAAGCATCAGCAGTCCATCAAATGCTTCAATCGCCAGTGAGGACCTGAAAGCAAAAGAAACGGCCAGCCTCTTCCAGTTTGATTTGTTGGCGATGACTCTCAGGAATTCCGGCATTGTCATGTTTGTCCACGCTTTGTCTGACCAGCGTTGCCGACTCCGCCCCTGTGCTCCTTCAACACCACGTCTTGCAGAGGCCGTCAAGACGTACAATTTAATATACGATCTAATATGGATAAAAAAAAAAAAACTATTATCATCAATCCCTCGACTGCTTGAAACGCCTGAGGTATCTAAGTGCCGAAGAAACAAGCAACCTTCTTCAAGATGATCTGTTGGCGTTGGCTCTCAGGAGTTTCGGTATTGTCATGTCGGTCCACGCTTTGATGTTGTCCGACCAGCTCTTGTGTTACCGTTCCCTCCTGTTTGCTCCTTCAACACCGCGTTGCATGATGGTCTTGCAGAGGCTGTCATGCCGTATGACGTAGCCAAATCATGTCATTTTCAGACTTTTGACCTTCGTTCTGTACATAGTCGTTGGTTTTTCTGCCCCCCGTAAGGAGATGCGGGGGAGCTTTCTCAAGCATTTGTTATCGAACACCTGGATCATTTTTCCTGTCTCAGCCAGGAGTGTCGTCTCGCAGTTGTCAAGGGGGATGGATATGACTAAGATTTGTAGAGCTTGAACTTCCTATGGAAACTAAGGTTGCTCTTTGCTTTCCAATTTTGCCATCTATTCGACCTGTGAGTATCAGATTCCCCAAGCCATCCTTTCTCATTACATGTCCCAGAATTCAGCTGTCACTTCCTGATGCCACTCATTTATTCAAATGCCTGTACATAAAACTTCTTTGATGTGCCCAAACTATGGCATCTTCCGATGCTTAATCGTAGCGAGGAGAGATTCCTGTCAACCCAAGAACTTTTCGACCTTGCCCCGTACGTAGTCATTGGTTTTGTGCTCCCAGTAGGAAACGTAGAGGAGTTTTCTCAAGCATTAGTTCTCGAACGCCTTGTTCCTTTTTTCCTGTTTCAACCAGGAGTGTCGTCTCACAATCGTCGAAGGGGGTGGATATGATTAGCGGTTTGTAGAGCTTGAACTTCGTATAGAAGCTGAGGTTGCCCTTCCATATCCTTTCCAGTCTGGCTATAGCTGCTGTGGCTGGGGTGATCCGTGTACGGATTTATTCGTTACAGGTGCCATCTTGAAGACATAACATTCAAATAAATATCTTCCCGTCGCTTTTATTTTAAACCTATTTTATTTTCTTTGCTTGCTTATCTTACATTCCGTTACCTTTTTATTTTTACTTCTTGATTTGAATAGTTCATCCCACGCATATTCCGCCATTAATTTTATCTGGATAGTCTCGGCCTCTTGCTGCTATCGTCTTTACATGCTAACATATGTGAAAATGGTAGGACAAAATGAACAATTTATTAACGACGCGTTTCGCCGAGAGCGTTCACCCCACTTTAGCTCCTGTGGGTTAGAATGAAAGAAAAACAAAACTGTATGTGAGGAAAAATGCCCAGACATCTTTGAGGATAAGTGGTGACCATAAATGAAATTAAATTAGATTAACTATTACCTCTAATGTTCACACTCAATAGAGTGTCTGTTCACCTGTTTGTTTGTTTTTTTTTTGTTTTTTTTTGTCTGTATCTATATTAGAGCCGTTTGGTGTTGTTGAATTTTAAATCCATCCACCGAAACTAGATTGTTATATATATATTTCTGGCCGACTGGTTAGAAGGTTCGCTTTCTGACCATGAGACCCGGGTTCGAATCTCACCATGGTCGATTTTTCAGGAAGGTAACTTCTTGATGTTAT